TTTAAAAAAATTGAAAAGCCAATTTTAATTGAATGCAACAGTGGAAGGTTAAAAGATATTTTTCCTACAAATTACCATATCAATTAAACAAAAGTGTGCGTAGAAACCGATCCAGACGTAGAAAAAGAGAATGGCTTCCCAAACCAACGATCCTCGCCTCTCATCGGCGGCGAGGCCGTACAAACCGTCGGTCGTCGCTCCGCAGGACGCCCCCATCGATTACTCCGGCTTCGTCGCCGTCATCTGCGGCGTCTTTGGTGCTATGTTCCGGGTGCGTAATCAGTTTCTCCTCCATCTCCGATCTGTGTTTTCTTCCCCATTATGTCCTGCGTTACCTTTGATTTCTGTGTGCGTGAACTTAGATTCGTGCAATCGAAGTTGATCTAAGCAGATCTCATGGTAGTAATTTATCTGGAGGTGTATGATCATGGGTTGATTGCTGAATTTGAATTTTGCCAGTACAAGATCTGCTCTTGGCTCGCGGTGATATTCAGCGCACAATCGCTTGCTAATATGAGGAACATGGAGAACGATCTCAAGCAGATCTCCATGGCCATGATGTAAGTTTGGATTTTTTTCATTTTCATGTCACCAATGTGTAAATGCGCCTGGATATGAATGAATACTCATTCATTTGCAGCTCGAATTTAGCCGAGAACTCGCAAATTTGTTTTGACTAATGATAAAGGCACTATGCTGTTCTCTTTGAACAGATTATCATGTTAAATTTGTGGGTTCCTTAACATGTGAGCATGATGAACTTATCTGCAAGATCTTACAGCCTTGTTTTTAAAGAGCTTATGAGCTTTATTTTACATCTTAAAAGCTCTTTAGCATCTTGTAGATGTTTTTTTAAGTGTTTATAATCTCATAAAACACTTATATTATGTAGAAAAAGAATGAAAATATACTTTAATACATTCTATTGCCCTTCTTATGAGTTATAATGATTGCTCATATGAAATGGAAGTAGATGTGTTTGCATTATGTTTGCTTAAGATTCTTGCTTGGATGACAATGTTGGTGAGGCTACTGGACTAGTCATATCCCACTGAAGAGAACACTGGAAGTTAGCTGGGTGTATATTCACTTTTCACATTCTCAACCAATATTTTTCAACTTTTCTTTCCCCACATTTTTTCTTGTGAAAAAGGTTTCCTGTTATGAAAAATCATTCGAGAACCCGGGAATGTAATTCTTCTTATGTACTAAAAGTCGGCCTAGGCAGCCGCCTCCGATTTGCATAAATTGGCTGAAAAATCGGTCAGGCAGGCGGACCTAGGTGCCACCTAGGCTAGCTCGGCGGAAATTTTTCATTTTTTTTTATATTTTTTTAAATACTAATTACATTATTTTATTATCATGTTTTCTTTATAAAATACTAATATTATTATTTTGACTAAGGGGTGTTGATTTATAATAAGTTGAGATAATTTTACTTTGTAGGTAGTGAAAATAAATAAAAAATAAGGTACTTTATTCTTGATTTTTAGGCCCGCCTAGGCGCTAGGCATTGGTCGAGCGCCTAGCGACTTCTAGAACGGTAAGATATTAGCGATCTGCTTCCTGAATTGACTTGCGGGTTCTGAATATATTTATAATATTATGCCCTACTAATTTTCCTTTTTGGTGGTTACCAGGTTTGGGATCATGGGATTGGTGACGAACTACATGGGGGTGGGACCTCGGCCGAGCCCCAAAAGTTAGCAACCTTATATGTTTGATTTGCCAATGTTGAAAGTTTTCTTTCCTTGCTCTTGTTAGAAAGCTGCAGTACACATATTTTACTTGTCCAAAAAATCTAAGACCCTAATATCTTCTTTTTTTTCTTTCTATTGTTTCGATTTGAAGTCGATTTAATCTTTTGTAATAGTTAGTTGGACTAGGTTGGATATGAATATTCAACATCAAAATCAGAGATGGATGACTCAACTGTTTTTCTGGGATCTAAAGCCCGATTTGCGCAGAAGGGTAGGATTTCGCTGTATGGATGACTCAACTGTTTTTCTGGGATCTGAAGCCCGATTTTATTGTTCTCTTTTTCGTCCCATTGACATGCTGTTTTTTTATTTTGGGTAATATTTGGAGATTTATTAGGTACATATTAACCCGAGTAAAATGCACTTTTAGTCTTGTATGTTTCACTACCTTAACATTTTCGTCCCTCTTCGAATTGCGTTTTTTATTTTTCGTCCTGTATGTTTGTAAAAAGATTACAAAAAGTTCATTTTCAGACGAAATTGGAACTTTTTTTATTGTATAAGATAAGGGACCTTTTTGTTGAAAAAGGACATTTTTTTATTCTTTTTGTAAACATACGAGACGAAAATTAAAAACGCAATTCGAAGAGGACGAAAAAGTTAAGGTAATGAATCATACAAGACTAAAATTGCATTTTACTCCTATTAACCCCAAGGGATCGTTGTTAATTGCTACACCCTCGGGATGATTACATTTTCTGGCAATAGCTTGGCTCTTATATTATTTGCTCCTTTTTCTTTTATCGGAAAAATTTCAAAACTAGTCACACAACTTTTCGACAGGTGAGAGTTGACATACGTTGAAGGAAACAAATGTGAAACAAAAAATTTACACGTCAAGTGACGACGTCTATACAACTCGGATTGGGCTAACTGGCGGGGACCCAAGGTAGAGTGTCTACCACCACATCCACCTTCTCCACTCTACACCACTAGTCGACGTCTCAGAAAAAATGGCTGACATAATATAAAGCGGGATTTGTATGCAAATAAATTGTAAAAAAAATCTGCTTTAATATGCAATTTTACCTCTTTACTCCTTCACATTTACATGAATAGAAAACAGGCAATCCAACACAATGGGCACTTGAACTAAATTCAAGTTCCTAACATTATTTCAAAAAAGGTAAACTCAAAAGTAGATATATCAGATAACACATAGTACACATAGTAGATCAACATACCATCATCTTCAGGCACAACAAGCTTCATATAAACATTATACTCTAGATTTCGACTTACTTCCCTCATATCCCACATCATCTCTCTATAGCTAGTAGCTACACATGATCACACACCTTGGTCGTCTTCATCCACATTAAGCCAACACAGGCTTTCCACATAGGTTGTAGCACCAATCCCCACGAACGTGTCAAAGTGATGGGGTCCCATGTTGCCTGAATCATACAACTTCAAACTCGATCCGTAATTAATCAACATCGTCTTATCATCCTCCGACACAAACACAGGCCTCGGCAATATGAACCCATGCTCCAAAGGGTCAACCGCAAAAGGCACCTCAACCACTTTAGTCCAAGATTCCCCCACACCGTATTCCTTCATCACCCACACAACAATGCCCGCACGATTTACACAACAAGTGGCCAGGCAACCACCAAAAACCTCAACCTCTAATACATCAAAACCAGCACATTTACCAAAATCTTCAGGCATAGGCAACCGAGTGAATGTCTCGGTCGCGAGGTTGAGTGAGACAATATCCCGTTTAGAGGCAGACACTACAACCTGCCAGTGGATGGACCCGTTCAGGAACTTTCCTGACCGGAAGCCAGTGCCCCCGCCCGGCCAGGTCAGGGGCTTCCACGAGTTGGCCCTCGAGCTGTAAATCATGGCGTGGGTCTCATGCGTGTCGGAGCGTATCGCGAAACTGTGAATCTCGATCACCTTGCAATCGCCGTGGACCTCATCATACCCAAAGGAATACGAATTGTTGAAGTACAACAAGTAAATAGCTGGCGCGTACGACTCCGGCAGGATTTTCAATTTTCTCGTGGCTGGATTCATTATGCAGATGCTGCAATCTGTGGGAGTGGACAAACGAATGCAAACAAGACCGTTACAAGATCCGATCAAGCTCAACTCGATACCAGGGGCAATAGGAGGGCAGTTTAAGGGGGCGGCGTCGAAGGGGATCGGATCTTGATTGTCGTTGACGGAATAAAGGCAGCCGGTGAGTGGGTCGGACAAGACTGAGCCATCGATGGCGGGGTTGATGGGGCAAGTGTAAAGGATGCGGTCGTTGTCGGTTCTGCGGCCAAAGATGAGGTTTTCGCAAGGTGAAACGCCGGAATTTTGGGCCGTCGAGGTTTTAAGGTGGGTTTTGGCGAATTTAGGGCTTGAGATGAGGAGAAGCCATGGTTTGGAGACGCACTTGAACCTGAGGAGTAATTTGACCGGCAGCCGGAGGAGGATCTCGGTGATGATTTCTTCCGGGAGAATTGCGGCGGCGGTCGCTGGGTTCTCGTTCTCCATGGCTGCGCTTTGTGCCGGCGGAGAGTTTATTTGCTATGCATTTTTTGTCATATTAGTTTAAGGATACAACAATTTTAGTCTCAAAGTTTCAATTGTTCGCTTTTTGGTCCTTTGATTTAATATTTTGATGCTATTTGTCAGGTGGATCCTATGGTAATTTGGGTAAGAAAGGAGTTGGGGTGGATCCTATTTGTCAGGTGTGTGGAGAAGAGTCTGAGACATTGGAACATCTTCTGTTTCAATGCCCAAAAGCTAAAT